CAATACAAGGCTGGCAATTAGTTTGCAATCAGGGCCTTTATGAGAGACTCCCCTCTATAGTTACATTTCGGCAAAGTTATTACGAGAATAATAATTTAACACAAACAGTTCTATTAACATCGATGTGCCCTACACATTAAAAAACCCTATAAATGTACATTTTCCATCAGACAATGACAGAGGTGAATCATATTTAATATAACTCTTCTAAAGATGGACTGGCAGCGAATTCTATGAAATATAGTCCAAGTACAGCTTGTACCCAAGGCTGGAATCTGCTAGTACAGACATTAACTAGGGAATAAAAGTATCTAATATATTGACACAAATTAAAATAGTGTTCTAATTTAAATATAATTATTTTTAAAAACTTAGATAATTAATAGGGTAATACCAACAACGGTAACATTATGTTCTAATGTTGTTGCTATTGTTATGGCTAGATGCAAGAATAGCCATAAGGTAGATGCCCAAGCTGTGTAGAAACACAATCTTGTTTATGTATCGCCAGTATTAAAGCGGTACTGTCACTTGTGGAATTTTTACATTTTTTGCCTCGATCCTCCAAAGTGATTCAGTGGTCCACCCTCTAGGCAGCTTCATCTTGGTAAAAAAAAAAACAGGGATCTATGGAGGTCCTGGGAGATGCCAGTTGCCATCAGCTGTCACAAGTGATATGAGAAATGTCGGAGTGTGGTCGCAGAAGCTCTGCCCATTGACACATTTTGCCAAAATTCAACTTGTATACGAGAACGTAGTTCCTAATTTCTCTCGTTCATTTTCAGTGAAATTCCAACACTGTCTATATGTTTTGTGTTTCTATAAGTGTTCTATCTTTATGGAAAACGCAGAAGTACTAGTGCTGCCCAACAACCATATGCTAAATCCTAAACATTTGGTTAGTTTTCCATTTTATTTACTGCCACCTGCTGGTGAATCTTACTCACAGCAAGCCAAAAAACAGATGCATATCATTACACATTCCATTAACTGATCATTTGGGTTTCATGAAATTATCATTAAGGATCATATTTTTTTTAAATATTTTTTTAATATTAAAGGCTACTGAGATAACTATATCATGAATGATTATTAAAGGGACACTATAGGCACCAAATGAAATGTAGCTTAATTAAGCAGTTTTGGTGTATAGATCATGCCCCTGCAGTCTCACTGCCTAATTGTCTGCCATTTAGAAGTTTAATTCCCGTTGTTTATACAGCCCTAGTCACACCTCCCTGAATGTGGCTTGCATAGCCTTCCTAATCATTTCCTGTAAAGAAAGATCTAATGTTTAAACTTCCTTTATTGTACAGTCTGTTTAATTTAGACTTTATTTCCTGCTCTGGCAATAGCGCATGTGTGTGATTACAGTTTAATTTATAGAGCATGAGATAGAAAACTTCTAAAGCAAGTTGATATCTGATTGAAAATGAAACCATGTTTTCATGCAGGCTGTGTGAGACACAGCCAGGGGAGGTCTGGCTAGGGCTGCATGGGCAGAAACAAATTGATATAACTCTAAAATTGCAGAGAATTGGGCAGCGAGACTGCAGGGTGTGATCTGTATGCTAAAACTGCTTCATTAAGTTAAGTTGTTGTTTTGGTGCCTATAAGCATTGATAACCGGACTTATGATTATTTTTGTGCTAGTATTAATAGTCAGCATCTACAGGCATCAAATATGAGACAAACACACACACACAAAGTAAACAAACAAACAAAAAAAAGACCGCGGAATTTTTAACATCCTTCCCAAAGTTATTAATAAAATATACAATGTATTAGTAGCCATATTAGTCTAGCAACACAGATGTGAAATAAAAAGAGTAGCTGTACTGTATTTTGTAATAGACTTGCCCATGGCAGGAAAGTTCAGTTTGCGCAAATAATTTTTCCCAAATATGAAAGTTTTTTTTCAGAGAAGTACGACTTTAATGTGATAGTTTGGTTCAGCCGGAAATCATCCACAGGAAATATTCAGGGAAACATAATAAATAAATGTTTTTATTGTTCATCCTTTTTGTCCCTCTATTGGTCACTTTTTACTTAATCTGTGAATGATATCAGCATTTCATGGTTGTACCCTAGAAATCAATCATCTCTTTTTTGGAACTCTGAATACTGAATCAATCAACAATGTTCTGCCATCGCACTAGTCGTTTGCTCAGTAATAAGTTCATATGGTGCTTCAGAGACATGGAATGTGGGTAAACGGACCAAATTGGTCTGAATTCAAATGTACAAGTCTGTAACTTTATTTAATGGACTACATTTTGGAACAGCAGGATTTTGGGAGACTATCATGAAAGATATTATTCCAAAATGTAGTTAGCTCAATAAACAGATTTCTTTTAACATATTGCTAATACACATAATACTTTCACTAAATTCAATAACTAACAATATTTATGGAAATATTTTGAAAGTGATCAAAATTAACTTTGACTTAGAATCAATCACAACAGCTGGCCTGCATAACCCTAGTCCGGACATGGGCCAAAATAGCTCAGAAACTCACTCATGTTCCAAGTAATTTTCAAATTAAAAAAAGGAGCCTTCCCAAAACCGACCTTCACTAGGAGTCCAGAGATGATGATAATGTATGAAAGTTATATAGTGCAAACATTATCAACTGCGCTTTATAATGGGCATATAAAAACAAATAAATTACATTAAAATGATTGTTCTGCTCAAACATTTTTAGAATAAAAGCCTTAGAGCCCCTACTGCTCTCACACAGGAACAAGTGTTAGAATGAAGAGAATGGTGGGATCTATGATTACCCACCTGCTCACTCTCATCCACCGAGGACCTGCTTATTGTCCTACCCAGTCCATAAATAGCAATCTAGATGGAGATCCACAAGTTCACAGTGTAAAGTAATACCAGCCATATATATTACTGTCTTGCCTAAGAGACCAAAAACATTATCTGGGTAGACTAAGCAGATAATGCAGGTAGGACTTGCCTTGAATTTGGAGTTTGGACTGGACTCATGGGTACAACCATCCTAAAATGATCAGGCAAAGCTTCCCTCTAATTGCACAAGTGAGTTAATGCACTTTTTTTTAGAATTATAAACTTTAGAACCATTTTGGTATCATAAGAAAGCCTTAATAGTATTTGTTGTTTTCATTGTCTTTCTAAAACAATGGGTAAAAGGGAATGTGGTTCCAGATTTTGGCAATCAGCAGGAGATGAGTAGCTGAAGATTTACCCCAGAGAACTGACAAAACAACTGGATCTACCAGTCTATTGTCACAAAAGTCCTATTAAGGACTGGACCCACTCTTTGCTGTCCGAGTACTACAATGTGTAGTGGTAGTAGCACTAACGAAAGGTCCCCATTTTTCAAGAAACGCCTATGAGGGATGGAAGTAGAGTGCACTTCACACACTTTACTCCAGAACATCCAATGAGATTCAGTGAGGTTTAGATCAAGACGCCATGGATGGACTTCAACAAGTTGTTCATGAAACCAGGAATCAATATGTAAAGGGGTGTGCTTGGAGTATTTCTTATCCTATATTAGTGGGATCATCAGGAGGTAGCGATGTCTGCACCACAGAGTACCCTAAGTTCAGCAAAACGATCTCATAGCACTTGGCTGTTTTATAACCATGAAGAGCAATCACTGGGACTCAATGACTGACATGAGGTGGCTGCACAAATCACTATAATACTACCAAGTTTCATAGGAGATAACAGACAGGGAAGTTTGAAGACATCCATTGGCTCTTTCAACATGTGCGGACATCCGTACGTAGAAACTAGGCTGAAAGATGCTTCAGATCACATTAACTTGTTAATTGCTTAAGGGTTCAGCATTTGTGCTCAAGTCACATTATGCAACTTCATCAGCACAGCTTCATAGCAATCATGCCCTATTGTAAAGGTAGGCGTCCTCTGGCTAACCTACAATCGTTCACCACAAGCTTAGATCAGGATAAATGTTACCTTGGTAAACTAAAATAGTACAAACTAAAAACATGTTATTACAGAGAGGCCATGTTTGATATGGGTAATCTGGGACCTATGAGGCCCGATCTAGCACAATGTTCTGGTCATTGTATGGTCTTAAATGCAACTGTTATGACCTCTGGGATTATCATTGTCCTTATAAAAGGGAGCACATAACACTGTACTAGTTAATCAGGTAAACAAAGTTACCCAAGATTAAAATAGTCTACAGCTCATATTCTCCAAGCGGTAGACAAACTAACACATTATAGCACGGTGGCCAACAGTTAGCACTTAAGATGTCCACCTAATTGCAACAGGTTGCCTTTGAGCTGTGGTAGAATTACAACTCACGTGACCCTATCGTAACTGATCCTACCTGTAAGGGCAGCCTAGAACCAAAATGCCAGCAAGTTCTCTGCTTGAGAGATACAGCAATCCCAGACATTTTTTTTCAGCCTTCTTTGAGCCTTATTAGTAAGGTGTAGCGGATACCCCTTTAGGTACAGTGAAAATTCTTTATTTAAGGATAGGTCAAGCAAGTACGTGGCCGACAATGACCGGAATGCGATATTTTATACATCAACCAATAAAGACATAGTAATATAATAGGTAGTACATGATATTTATATCACACATTGGCACTGGGTGACACAATTATAAAATTAGTATGTCGTGCACACATAAGCGTTCAGGAATGCCGAGCTGTGGAAATGGTATGGTATGGTTAGGGCGGAGCTACTGGCGTCACACTATACAATCCATTGATTGGCGGACAGTAAAACAATGCTCACGACAAATGACACGCTAGGCATTTGGTCTAAACCCCACACGCCCCCTAGCGGTCCGACTTGCAGTGGAAACGCTCACCTGAATAGGCTGGACCATTCTAACTCTTCTGAAGCGCACTGATCCGAACCATACTGCTCAGTGGAAACGAGGCTAACCTAGAGCATTTATTTTGCTGTATAATTTTTTTTTTTGCAGTGTCCCAAAGGCATTCCTCGAGCTGCTTGGCATAGATAACAAGTAGGGTAGTTGCTAGACAGTGCTCATTTTTTGGTATAATAATAGGTACAGGATAAGGTTACATGCAGGTATTAAACTCTTTTCACCATTTGCTGGATACTTGCTTTAGATATGAGAGGTAATATATCACCCTTTAGACCCCTATAGCTACGCATGAGTAAAGCTGGTGCATTGTGACAGGTGAATGACACAAGATAAGATTAGGAGAGTTGTTGTGACTTAGATGATGATCAGATCACATTTTATGACCAACTTGTGCAGAAATCCATATCATTCCAAAAGGGTTCACATACTTTTTCTTGCAACTGTAGTTATGTTTAAACAGCAAGATTGAATCGAACGCCCAGGTATGTAAATTCCTTTGTGGAGATTTTTAAGTGGTATTTACTTTGAATGAGCACCATATCTGGGGCCAAAAGGTGAAAGGGCATGGCTACCAATTTTGTCAAGTTGACTTTATATCCTGCAAGATAAGAGTCGCAGTCTAGAAGTGTCGTCAAGTGTTTCAAGGAGGACATCATCTGCATCAACCAATACGTTGAATTGTTGTCCCAACACCCCCACCCCAAGGCAAATGTGAATAGGAGCGGGATAGGGGGCACCCCTGTCTCGTTCTGTTGCCCAAGGGGAAAGGAGTCTTACTAGCTCCTGTTATTAGAATCTGTGCTCGTGAGTCTCAATTAACCTTTTGGGGAGAGCCAAGTCAATGCATTGCAAGAAAAACAAAGAATATGAGAGCTCTGAGAACACACAAAAGTTTAGAGAAACTAACCAGCTTGCCCTTTAGTAAATCCCCAGTATATTTATAAAAAAATAAATTAAAAAAGGTGTTTTATTTTTCCCATATATTGATTTAAAAACTAAATTCTAGTAAGCTGCTTGTTGTAAAATTTAGGATAACTTCACAACTTAGTCAAACCCCCAATATGTATAATATAAATATCAAAGATAACAGACCAAAACACTGCAATACCTATGGATCAATTCCATCAATGATCTTAAAAAATATTTATTAAAAATAAATTCAGTAAAATGAATACACGCATGGTTTATACAGTGATATTGTTTAAATAGGCCTCTTCACATGTTGTGAAGTTTTACCATTCAATTTTTATGAACCAGAAATGGCATCAGATGTGGGAGGTGATCTCAGGTCACGGCCCGTAATGGTTTAGTGGTGGAAGCAGCAATGTTCGTGTACTGAAATTCAACAGTTTAAACATGAGGTTTTTTTGTCCAAAAACAAAATTTATTTCCTTTTCCCTTTTGCTGGCTTGGCAAATAAACTGGGGTCTATCTGGTCTCTAGAGAGTCCCCTTACTGAATACAGCCTGGCAGCTCGTTCATGCAGAGTCCCACCACATTTCAAACCTAGAGCCGCAAGTTCCACTTTCAACTTCTCCAAACCCAGGACTTCCAGTTCCATCGCAGAGCTAAACTTGAGAAGGTCAAGAGGAGAGGAATCCTGCAGGAACAAAGAGCATATTTATTGAAAATATTTTTTTTACTTTTGGCTTGTCCACATACTCAAGAGTTAGCAATGGGACGTGTAGCCTACTATATAATATTTAACTCTACCTGCATAAACCTCATGGTCACTAGTTTAACCCAGCCTTTAATCTTTGGTGGTCCCCAATGAGTTGGAAGTATAGAATGTTACAAGTCAGAAAAAGTAGGGCAGGTGTCATTGGCTGAACCGTTAAAGTTATGTTTAAACGGGTCTGAAAACTGCTAAAAAAAATAATTATTTTCTTAAATGTAATAATTGGTGTGATGTTTTAACACAATATTTGACTTGGCCTGTGTTACTATTGTAAGTCGTTACTCTAAAGAGTACATTTAAAGAATACATTGTGCAAACTGAGCTGGAAAAGTATTAGCAAACATGGACGAAAAGTATATTATAAATATATTATAAATATTATTCCTTCCTTCTCTGTAACACAACACTTTAGTAGAAGGGTAAAATAAATGTCTATTGAAAGCCATGCAGGTACCCTGCCAACAAATGGTGAAACCGATTTCCAGCTAGTGCGAGTGTACAGACAGGGTGATGCCAATCACATCATCTTTGGGGCACTGAGTACTCAGCTGGTCCGCTCCGCTGTGCTATTCTATGTGCAGAGCAGTTGATCTTCGGATGAGTCTAGTTTCTAAATTACATACATAATGATTTACCCAGCACAACGTTTAGACTAGAGGGAGACCTTGTCAACCACATGATCTGTCATAACTATCCCAAGTTAAATATATAATAATACTCAAACATTACAGTTGTATATTGATGGCATTACCACTGTCGTTGCAACCAGATTGTATATAGAGAATATATAAAAATTACAGTTTGAACTTAAGCTGTAAAAGAAAAAAAAAAACTAAAACACGGCACCAATTGATTGCACAGATGTTTGCTTACCTTATTCACTGTGTCCGGCACTGGTTTGGCAGTTTCTATATCTGGTAATCTCTCTTCTGACAGACATATCTGTTGTATTGTAGGTTCAGATTTCTTCTGTTCCTCGGATGCCTCTAAAGACATTTGATGTTTTTCAGATGCCTCTACAGCCATTTTCTGCTCCTCGGATGCCTCTACAGCCATTTTCTGCTCCTCGGATGCCTCTACAGACATTTTCTGCTCCTCGGATGCCTCTACAGCCATTTTCTGCTCCTCGGATGCCTCTACAGACATTTTCTGCTCCTCGAATGCTTCTACAGACATTTTCTGCTTAGCCTGTGAAGTTGTCATAGGTGTGGGATGTGACTCAGATCCATCAGAATCACTTTGACTCTCTGAGCTGTGCAGTTTAGGATCTGTACTGTGAGAGGCTGATGACGTACTTGGTGATTCACAGTCGCTGTCACTATCTGAACTGGAAGACACTTCCAATCCTTCCACTCCCGTCCTGAATAAAATAAATAAAATTCACAAGGGTTCTTGTAATATCCATGTATGTACAAAACAATGGATGAGTTCAGAAAAAAACCAGACGTGCATAGTCGATAAGACTAACTTCTCATGACCAGCAAGATTCCTTATTTATAATATTGTACCTGTACAAAACAAACACCAAAAATCCACCAGGTAGGTCTAATGTAGGTTAGGCTACACGTTGTAAATCTGTTTAAATATAGCTTGATAAATGCCTGCTGTGACCATAACAGATATCCTCACAACTCAACAGAAAAATTATAACTAGATCAGGAAAGGTTCAGTCACTTTCCAGAACAGGCAGTGCTCACTGTAGAAGCTGCAAATCCATTGAATGTGCAGAATATGCAGGAACTTTGTTATTTTATAATGCTTTAAAAAAGGATGGATCAACTACAGTTTGAAGTGTACCTTTACTTCATATTATATTGAAACGGGAAACTGCTGTACACAGAGTGCAACTTGCAGGACATTATTGCATCACAATTCAACAAATGCTGAAAAACAAAAAAAAACCTACCAAAAGCATTTCTTTTTGCCAGGTTCTGACTTCCCGACTTTCACTTCTGTCTTGCGTTTGCGACTTTGCTCTGTCTCCGGAGAGACCACAGTACTTGAAGATGCTTGTAAGCCTTAAAGAGAGAAATATACATGATTTTCTTTTTTAACCCAGCATTGGATCCTATACTAGCAGACTCAAAAGTCAGACCAGTCAGGTGTTCCTTTACCATCTCCAAAACATCCCAAAGGAAGAAACCGTGGGAAAAACCTATTGTGTGTGATTCACACTTCCTGTTGGCCTATAAATGGGACAACCACATCTTAGGTTTAAAGGGGCACTATAGTCACCCAGACCACTTCAGCTCAATGAAGTGGTCTGGGTGCCAGGTCCCTCAGGTTTTAACTCTTCAGATGCAAACATAGCCGTTTCAGAGAAACGGCCATGTTTACATTTGGGGTCAAGCCAGTCTCTAGTGACTGTCTTCTGGACAGCCACTAGAGATGCATCTGTGACGCTGAAAACACATTTTGCCTCCATCGGGCAGAGCGTCCATAGGAAAGCATCGTGAAAGGTTTTCCTATGGACACTTTGAATGCGTGCCTCGCATGCGCATTCAGCTCCGCTGAGGTCGGACGGGGGAGCTGACGTTGGCGGGGGAAGAGAGGTCACCAGCACTGAGGGAGCCCGGCGCTGGATTAACGTAAGTAACTGAAGGGGTTTTAATCCCCTTCAGCGCCAAGGGAGAGGGATCCTGAGGTTGAGGGCACCCTTAGGGCACTATAGTGTCAGGAAAACCGGTTTGTTTTCCTGACACTCTAATGATCCTTTAAGTTTGAATGTGTTTGTTTTATCTTCATGGTCTTTTGTTTTAATAAATAATATCGCTCCTTAAACCCACAATTTTTGCCCATCCTCCAATGTTTCCCCTATATTACAATATCACTGCTATAAGTGACGTTATAATGTAATTTCCTGGTAGTTATAGTTCAGCGTATCGCTTTCTACAGTAAGCTGTAAACAGGAGCACTCCACTCACGCTCCTCCACCACCGTCAGCCGGTGGGGGAGACCTAAGGTGCATGCGTGGCAGTGGCCCGAGGTATCATGGGAAAAGAAGGAAACGTTCTGCATCACCTGATACAGAAGGTCAAGACAACACTACACCAGGGCTGTGTGTGCGGTCACAATCATAAAGAAAATGTCCATTCAGAGCAGATAACCCTTACATATCCAAAGAAATCATGATCATTGGATTTTATTGTACATAAAGAGCACATACAGAAACTACAAAATCTACAATTTCTAGGGAAATTGTGTGAAGTGTTCTTGCCTCCACCAGTAGCTATGCAAGAACACTTAATAAACTCAAAATGTAAAGCACAAGGTGAATGTAAGTGAAAAGTCAAAATGTATCATGGCCATAATGCAAAGTACTATAATCACCACATGGTGGAAAGAATCTTTGATTGCCATTCTATTTTTGTGTCCCAATGAGTCTCTCCGGGCCTTTAAATCTCAGCACCTCAGCAGCCACTTGGCTAATGTAAAAGTGAGCTTTCATATTAGCACCCAAATTAAAGTTGTCAATTACAGTATATAGCTCAAGTAAAATAAATATCTCCACAGTAATTCAGTGTGTGTTTTTAATCTTTGGAATTATCCGATTACTTCTATAAATTGATTACATTTCCACAAACCGTCACATATGGAAATGAATATAAAGATTCTGATCCCCATTAAACACGCTCCATGGAGGTACCATCAACATGTGATCCGACACCTCCTTTTATTCTATCTACAACTTCAATCCCTGACCTGTTCTGCCCCCTCTACTTCTCTGGTCCTTCAGTAAATGACTTTTGTTGCTCTTGTGAAATGCTGGGCAGAGATGTAAAATTGGGATTCTCATCTGTATCATTGTAAGTACTGTCCTGTACTAACCGTGTCTAATTATAGTAGTCCTTATTTATATAAAATCACACCACGCAGAAAAGTAATGTGAACCTAACCCACTCAGCTTTGGTACAATTATATGGATCAGAGTAATTGAGGGATCTGTCAGTACCTTTGATTACGGATTCCTCCAAACGTTCTGACATATCATGACACTGACGATGATACTCTGGGTCGGTGAAATAGTGTTTAGGTTCTGCCAGCTTACGCTGCAACCTTTCCAGGCGTCTTTGCTCCTTTTCTGCTTCCCGCTCGGCTTGCTTTTTTATCCATTCTGCCATTCTATTCAAAGTAAAAATTTATTTATTTAATAATGCTTATATAGTGCTCTTATTCAGAGAGCTTTACATTGACAAACAAATTATACGAGTGAAAAAAAGAAATCAATATTAAACACAAAGCATTAATCAAAATATTGTACAATATAGTTACAATCCATAAAATACCATTGAAAGTCAGCTATCTTTAGAAATGGAAAATTGACACTTAAGTGAATTGTTTAGGTCTCAATAATTACACTTTAGAAAATAACCAACAAAAGCAGGACCTGCACAATATGCTCACTGTAAACAAGTAGGCATGATTAAAGTTATCAAAATGAAAATGTTAACATTTAGAAATAGAAAAAAATGCTAGCTGTAGAATTTTCCCATATATTGATTAAAACAAACAGAAAAAAACCCTAAAATAAAGCAGAAAAGAGACATTTAAAGTAAAGTAACAGAAGAAAACATATAAATTGCTTTTCTTACGCTTTCTCGTGGTTTACATCTCGAAGTCTCCTTCCGCTAAGATCGCGACACGCTTCCCTATTTGTGGTCTTTTCGATCTGTGCGCCAAGTGCCCTGAGCATTGAACCAAATCCTGGATGGTAAACAGAGGAGAATAACAAATGTCATCATAAAAATGATTACGGTCCCTTAAATAGAATAATACACACACCATAACCACTGCCACATGCTGGATTGGTTTATTGTGCCAGGAGAGCCCCCACTGTTTGGCAACAGCTCAATTTCTTAACTGGGGTCCTCAGTGTCTCGCTCCTTAACTCCTCTCAGTTGGAAAGTCCTATGAGGAGCTTCCGTTAGCTCTCGTACAATAAATCCAAGACTGCTTAGCTCAGTGAAGAGCACTTCTAGCTACAAGGAGGCATGGATCTGTACCCAACAAATGCCAGGTGAGAAGTCAAACTTAAAATCTTTGACCAGTTAAATTGGGGGGTGCCAGGGCACACCTGGAAACAGAACGTTATGATCCTTTAATTAACCCCTTAAGGACACATGACATGTGTGACATGTCACGATTCCCTTTTATTCCATAAGCTTGGTCCTTAAAGGGTTAAACAGTTAACCATCAGTGACAACATACACAGATTTACACAGCTCGAACCACAGACAGGAGAGGGACAAGAGAAATAAACCATGTAATTTCTTACTGGGTAGTATTCTGATAAAAGATGCTTTGTGCCCAACAATGTGCTGGCATTTTCAATGTCATGAAAGTATTAGCCATTCATAATTATGTGAAGCCCTTTGTTTTTTATGCACTTCGAAGTAGTTATCAGTAGATATGTAGAAAGTATAGTAAACTAAATCACTGTATGAAACAAAGAGGGAGTAGGATCCAACCAGGTATAGAACAACTTTATGTTTCAGGAATTGACTCCGTCATCAAAGTTGTTGCATTTAGGAGAGCAATCCAAGATATTTCGTTCTTTGGTTATAAAGAAAAGCAGAATAGGAAGTACAACATGTTAAATCACAGCTTTATTTTATGAAGCCTAATTCATTTTATTGAGATTCACAAACCTCCTTTCCCCCCACATAGCCGTAGCTCCACGCTGTATGTAAGGCCATCCTGAAGCTCTTCTTCCAAATCAACCAGACGACCATTGCATTTCACATAGAAGTCATTTGTTAGGCCCTAAAAGAGACAAGACCATTTGTGTAAACACTTAAAGGACCAGTATAGTGCCAGGAAAACATACTCATGCCCCCACCCTCAGACCACTCCCGCCAGGCTGGATGGCAAGGAAAGGGGTTAAACTTAACTTTTTTCCAGCGCTGGGCGGGGAGCTCTCCTCCTCCTCTCCGCCTCTGATGCCCCTCTTCGGCTGAGCTGCGTGCGCATTCAGTCGGTCGCATAGGAAAGCCTTCATAATGCTTTCCTATGGACGCTTGCGTGCTCTCACTGTGATTTTCACAGTGAGAATCACGCAAGCGCCTCTAGCGGCTGTCAATGAGACAGCCACTAGAGGCTTTAGAGGCTGGATTAACCATTTATAAACATAGCAGTTTCTCTGAAAGCTATGTTTATAAAAAAAATGGGTTAACCCTAGCTGGACCTGGCACCCAGACCACTTCATTAAGCTGGGTGCCCTTAGTGGTCCTTTAACCTAAAACAAAGAGCAGTGAAGTTGCTCTGACTGGCACAGATTGTACATGAAGCTAACATATAGGATCTAAAGCCCTGTTTGGGGTGTCACAGGGCAGCAGAATGTCTCACCAGCTCAGGCTGAGGAAGGAGATCCCGAACCGTGGCTCCCTGCGGCCTCCTGACACCGGACACCCGGCCCGAGAGAGCATCACGCACCCACACAGCGACCGCCATGTCTGCTAGCCCCAGCCACAACAACACGGCGTCACGTGACGCTCCAGCAGCCGGAAGGAAGCGACTCACGCGATGACGTAAACGCGTAAACCCACTGCCGCCATCTTTACTGCGGGCAGGCGGGAAAATGGCCTCCGAGTACATGGGGGATGGGGAGTATTAGAGAAAAACAAGTTTAGGGATAGAATAGAAAGAGAGCTAGGACGCCATAACATGAAATAAATAAACTAAGTAGCACAGTGTGTTATTCTTGTATAATTATATAATTCCAAGTAATGGAAGGTGCTGCTCAGTGTATTTTGCTTTCAGGTTTATTTTTTTATTGTTTTCTGTGTATTTTGTGCAATTATAATGTATTTTAGAATTCTGCGGCTGTCACACAATATGTCTGCTTTGCTGCTCTTATTCCAGCCACAAAGATGGCCGCCGCGCTGTCAGCGTCACGTTTTCCAGGAACGTCACAGCGCCAGAGCTCTAAACACACAGAGACACTGTATCTATCTGGTGGTACATGACGCCGAAGCTGAGTTATTCATGTTGTGTTTAGAACTCTTTGTTTATAAACCTGTGTCTGGGCTGTTCACTGAAGTGAATATTGCTGGGAATTCAAACTATATGTGTAAACTGGAAACCAAACTAACATAAAACAAAGCTGACTTTCACTTTAGTGAAAATAAAATCCAAAGTAATAATTACTTATAAATCTAAACACAAAAAATAAGGTCCAGCTTTGATTCTGTGTTACAACCTGCGGCCCCTCCAGATGTTGCTGAACTACAACTCCCATGATTCTTTCAATGAAACAGATAGCCAGGGAATCATGGGAGTTGTGGTTCGGCAACATCTGGAGGGGCCGCAGGTTGTAACACGGAATCAAAGCTGGACCTTATTTTGTGTGTTTAGATTTATACGTAATTATTAGCAATAATGAGCAATCTCATTTCAGAATATATATACCATGTATAATTAGTGAACCCAGACAGTGGGCCATTATATCTGCGGGCTGAGTGAGGGAGTTTAAGCATGCGTGGGATAGGCATAAGGCTATCCTAACTATAAGATAAGGCCAGGGACTAATGAAAGTATTTAGAAAATTGGGCAGACTAGATGGGCCGAATGGTTCTTGTCTGCCATCACATTCTATGTTTCTATGCTGGATCACACCTGGCAGTTCGGTATATTACCTTGTTTGCCATTACCCATAGATAGGGCAATGGATATCCTAAAGTACGATATGATAATGAACTTTAGGCAACCTGCCCTCTCCTCAGTTTGTTGGTTATGTCCTAACACCTGCTGGTTACTCATGTTACCAACAGACAGCTGGTTGATGACTGATACATTGTATAACTATTACACTCTTGAGCTTGTTTTGCCACATTTATGTTTTGTTGCTACATTTAAGTTGTTTTTTTTAGATAATATATGTGGTATACTTGCAATAGTTGCAATTGTTAGCTCACTGTAAAAATTCTTATTTGATCACACATGAAGGTTTTTACTCTTTTAACTTTTATCGCTATTAATTAAATATCACCTGACATGTAAAATTTCAAGCTCGACCACTTATTCTTTTTGTTAATAAAAATGAGCAAAAAAAAATGAAGAATGAAGAAATAGTGTCTGAAAGAATGATTATTTTGGTGGATTAAAGAGAAAACAGAAGAAAGTCTAAAGATAGAGTAACAGTTTTATACATAAGAAAATAGTACTTTTACACCAAACTGGCAGAAACGTGAAAGCTAACTCAACATTTTTTATATATAACCAATTAGGTACATTTATATTTTCTTCCTGACCATCATTGGTATGGTACTGCCATTTTTCTGTCATTCTGACATGGAAGAGGTAATGGGGATTATGTATAAAGACTGTTGCATTTGCTTTCACATTTTCCAGTTTTGTGCAGGACACTGGTGGGAGGGAGGTAAATGGGGCGGACCAGTGATGTAATTGTGTCACTAGCTCCAACCAAAGGGTGGGTTCTCGGAAAAGGGGGCAGGTCTGTCTGAGTTAATAGCAGTCTGCCTAGCGTGAATAACAATTCCCTGGTGCCCACAAAAGCGGGACATCAGTGAACTAAGTCTGGGCGGCAGCACAGGACCTAAAAATCAGGACTATCCAGCTGAAATCCAAACGGTTGGGAGACATGCATTTGCGCCATTTTGCATAAAACTATTACTCCACGTCTATGCTTTTTTTTTTTTTTTTGCCTTTTCTGTAATAAGTCATAATATTCCATCTTTTTGCCATTTTGTGGGGGTTAGATGCCCATTTCAGGAAAGTCTGCCTAGACTAGACCAGAACTTCCTAGACTAGACAATAGAGGTTACACCTGGCTACGTGAGATACAGTAAATCCATTTACAGAGACTCTGACTGCCATTTGCATTGTGTGGAACAAGCTGGGACAATCAGTTGTATAGTCACCAGACACTGTATGTTGGAGATATCCGCATCGTTGCACTGTGTTCTACCTTGGAAGCCTGTGTGCCCTGGTAGTAATATTAATTACATGCCATGTATCAGTTATTAGTAGTGACTTGAAGAGAAGATATGATTCCATGTCCCTAACCACAGTAAACACTATTTTAGCATTTACTAGGGTGAAGAGAACTGTTCAAAATGGAAATAAAAAGAACTTACATCCGCTGCACTCCTATCTTACAGCAAGATTGCTGTGGTTGTGTATCCTACAAATCTAATTTTGACCCATAAGCCAGCTGCATAAGAAGCTTCTGACAGTCAAGCTGTGCTCATAGCTCTGAAAAGGACCACTTAAAGGGACACTATAGTCACCTGAAGAACTTTAGCTTAATGAAGCAGTTTTGGTGTATAGAACATGCCCCTGCAGCCTCACTGCTCAATCCGTTGCCATTTAGGAGTTAAATCCCTTTGTTTATGAGCCCTAGTCACACCTACCTGCATGTGACTTGCACAGCCTTCCATAAACACTTCCTGTAAAGAGAGCCCTATTTAGGCTTTCTTTATTGCAAGTTCTGTTTAATTAAGATTTTCTTATCCCCTGCTATGTTAATAGCTTGCTAGACCCTGCAAGAGCCTCCTGTATGTGATTAAAGTTCAATTTAGAGATTGAGATACAATTATTTCAGGTAAATTACATCTGTTTGAAAGTGAAATCAGTTTTTTTTTCCATGCAGGCTCTGTCAATCATAGCCAGGGGAGGTGTGGCTAGGGCTGCATAAACAGAAACAAAGTGATTTAACTCCTAAATGACAGTGAATTGAGCAGTTAAATTGCAGGGGAATGATCTATACACTAAAACTGCTTAATTTAGCTAAAGTAATTTAGGTGACTATAGGGTTCCTTTAAGTTACCCAGGCTACTTTATCTCAATGAAGTGGTCTGGGTGCAGTGGTCCTGTCCATTTAACCATTCAAGGTAAAACATTGCTGTTTTGCTGAAATGGCAATGTGTACCTGGGAAGGATCAAAAACACTTCCAATGACAGCCATTGGGGCTACTTATGCTACACTGACCGAGAAAAACGAGATCATGTGACCTGGAAGCCCCCATAGGAAAGCACTGATGCAACGGGGAAGCTTGAATGCACACGCGGGACTCATTGTGCACATCAGTTCCCCAAAGTTCCTTTATGAGCAGCATTGGAATGGACCATGCCGCAGGAGGCCATGCCTCGTCCATGAAGTTGACCTAGATGTGGGAAGAAGGTAAGTGAAAACCTTTATTTTAATATTTTTATGGGACACACAGGGGACCTATTTAGCTAGGGGCAGGGAGACTAATGCGCTAGGAATACAGGTTTGTTTTCCTAACACTTGTGTGTTCAGATACTAGTTCTTTGGTGAGGGCAGCATGCCAATCAATACATTTTCTGGATTGCCTGCCAGCTGATTAAAGGGACATTTTATGGCATTGCCAGAGGCATTAAGGTCACTCAAGCAGGGTGCAGGAACACGGAACAACTGACCATAGTAAATCTCAATGCACTGAGACTTTATGGTATAAGCATGCAGTGTGTGTTAACACTATATAGAAGATTGGACATTGGATAATGATATTGTTGGTGCTTGTTGTGCCCCATTTAGCATTAAAGAAGCACTTACAGCACCATAACTACTATAGCATTGCAGAAGTGATAGCAACAGGAGTGGACTGCCGAGCATTGGTTCCCTCCTCTATGACAGCCGGAATCTTTAAGCCTTGCCGTGATACAATGTTCCGTTAAAGGGTGTAATTTGTAGCACTTTTAGGGAAAATAGCAAATATGGAAAATTCCTCAAACCCAACTATTGTTGCTGCTTCAGTTTTTTAGTCTACATTTTTCAATTTCGATTCTTATTCCCTGCAATTCAAAGTGTCTACCCCAGGAAAACTTCCAGCAAAGTTCAATGTGTATGTGTTGTTCTCTGTAATCTGCATATTTTTTTTCTTGCATGCATGCAATTTTAAATGTATCAATTATTGATATATTTTTTTTTTTACTTTTCTGGTATATCTAAAACAGCTTGTGAAAGCTGCAGATCTCCTGTCTGCAGCCTTTGCAAACCCTCCCCTTGTGACCCCACCCAGACTTTCTGTGGCTTTTCAATCACAAACGTCCCAATGCAGTTCAGTGATAAGTCTCTGCAAGGCAGGTGCTCTGGCCACTGAGCTAAGAAAAACCAAGACGTAAAAGGACCAGTTGTCTGCTTGAAAGCCGAGGGTGGGGTGCAACAAGTTTCATTTACAAAAGTACCAATTTCTATTGAAATCCAATCTTCTTGTAAAAAAACAAACAAAGGGAAAACAATGAAACAATCCAATTATAAAAAAATAAAAGCATTCTACAATCAATCTGTTTAATAGATGAAATGTAATGGTGATATTTAGAATGCACCTATTCAATGCTGGTATTTTAAATGTATACTGTGTAAGGAACGCCTTTAATTGAGAGTAAAATGGACAGCTACACTGCTTATTATGGGGCCCTTAGCAGCTGCTCTCTGTGCCCTAAATTCTCAGCATGTTTTCCATTACTGCCTGCCTCAGCATAGTGCCAGCTTCCCTTCCATGGCAGCCATGCAAGCTGTAATACCCCCTCCACTGCAGGTGGCATCCAATGGGCATGGAGGCCAGAGTCAGACAAGTTACTGGAATTTTGCACTAAGTACTAAAATGTAGCATTTTTTTTTTATAACTGTTATAGTGAGTGGACATTAGTGGCACCACTACCTTAAATCCGTGAGATGTTTCATGTTTGTGATTTGTGCATGGTGTAGGTGCCACGTGAATACAGTGCGTACCACGTGGATGATATCCATTTAATGTGCCCAATGTGTGTTTGGTGGTGTTGGTGTTTTGGGTTTGCCTGTGACACACATTGAATGACCGGTGAGTCTCACAGCTGTAATATGAGTGGGTCATCCCACCCCAGTGCAGTGTCAGAATAACAGACACCCAACAGGGCTTTCAACGTCCTGCCTGGGAATATCTGCTTCTAATCGGGAACGTTCCACCGGATTTGGGACATGTGGAAGGATTGTTAAGGAGAATGCCAATTGTGAGTTGTCTGGATTGGGTGCCATGGGTTCTGTGTGTGATTTGGTTCAATATGATGTTGACGTGTCATGTGGGTGCTAAACGTGTAATGAATGATATGTGGATTTTGTGTGATATGCGTGGCTGGATGTGAATTCTTGCCAGTAGATTGCAATGTGTAACTGCCAGGTGTGTAATGTCAAGTCCAGATACTTTTTGTGAGTTCCTTTGTACATAGCTACCGACGTCAGACTGCCGGGGTTCATGGGAGCAAGCCAACTTGCATCTCTACAACCATGAAAAGGTCATGTCATCTCAGTGTGCATGTGTACCAGGATGACATGCAGCCCAACCGGGTAAACAATGGCGTTAAAGCAGCGAGTGATTGATAATAACTAAATGGGCTAAAGCCCTCAGCTTTCCATCCTTTTATAGTAACAGACAACGGAGGCTGATCCATAGGGGCACGTCAAGCTGCGCCCTCCCAGTTTTTATTGCAAAAAAGTTAAATGAAATAGAAATGTCATTTCTTGGCATTGTAAGGATTACTGATAAGAGTGTGTTAGAAAATAACGTGTCTGTTATGATTATATCTGCAGTTTGTATTCTTCCCTTTATTGAGGACTGACGATGCAGCTGGCTTTCAACTGGTCGTGGCATCTCCTGGGGTTAGGTGGGAGGGTGGGGGGACAGCTAGTTCTGAACCTCACCAGCTGCCACTGGTATCAGAGTGATAGTAATATTATGCAGCCTATTATAAAGAGCACTGATGCCTCTCCTGGATTAAAAGGTTCTAGGATGGTAATGTTATGTTAGCACCAAGTGAGTGTCTTAGTTAACTCGTGTAATGTTGGTTCCACGTGTGTACTAGACGAGTGCTGCATGTGCCACGGAGGTGCCATGAGTGATGTACATTCTGTGTATGACAAGTGCTAGGTAACATGAAAAACAATGAAAACATCAAACCAGTTCAAGGTTAAAGGACACAGGTCCCAATCATTAGAACTAGTATCTTCCAGCACTGCGACTCTGTCATTGTCATTTAAATAAGTTGGGCTATTTACACCCATCAGTGGCAGACAGCTGTGCTGATACGATCACAATGTCAGTGCCAGGCGGCTGTGCCAGTACGGTCACAATGTCAGTGCCAGGCGGCTGTGCCAGTACGGTCACAATGTCCCTGCCAGACGGCTGTGCCAGTATGGTCACAATGTCAGTGCCAGGCGGCTATGCCAATACGATCACAATGTCAGTGCCAGGCGGCTGTGCCAATAAGATCACAATGTCAGTGCCAGGCGACTGTGCCAGTACAACCACAATGTCAGTGCCAGACGGCTGTGTCAGTACGGTCACAATGTCAGTGCCAGGCGGCTGTGCCAATAAGATCACAATGTCAGTGCCAGGCGACTGTGCCAGTACAACCACAATGTCAGTGACAGACGGCTGTGTCAGTACGGTCACAATGTCAGTGGCAGATGGCTGTGTCAGTACGGTCACATTGTCAGTGCCAGACGGCTGTGCCAGTACGGTCACATTGTCAGTGCCAGACGGCTGTGCCAGTACGGTCAAAATGTCAGTGCCAGACGGCTGTGTCAGTACGGTCACAATGTCAGTGCCAGACGGCTGTGTCAGTACGGTCACATTGTCAGTGCCAGATGGCTGTGCCAGTACGGTCACAATGTCAGTGCCAGATGACTGTGTCAGTACGGTCAAAATGTCAGTGCCAGATGGCTGTGTCAGTACGGTTACAATGTCAGTGCCAGATGGCTATGTCAGTAGGGTCACAATGTCAGTGCCAGATGGCTGTGTCAGTTCAGTCACAATGTCAGTTGAAGCTAAAGTATGCCTTGGATCCTGACCGCAGTCCAAACATTGTCAAAATTACTCATACAGCAGTTTATATCTCTATTAACTGTTTGCGTGCCAGAAGTTTGTCATTCTTTTTCCGCAAGAGGGTTAACAAGCCATGTAACTATTATCTAATAATGCGTACATAACATATTTTGGACTAAAAGGTCAAGCAAAGTCAAGCATCATGATAAAAGAAAACGTTTTACATGCGTACGTCAAAGAGAATATACAATAAACTCTTCTAAAGCACAAGCCTTTAAATCGGGAGAAATGAATGCAAACGGTTTGGCATTCATATGAAGGGACTGTGTTTGTAAAAGCGGGACAGTTGTCTGTGACATAACTGCTAACTGTATGCAAGACGCAGGCACTGCACTGGCAGATGGGCAGCTGTTTATCTGAACACGTGTCTAATTTATGCAGACTGAAAAGTTGCCCAGCCAGTAAATAGGCATTGCATCATGCCCCACCTTTACTACTGTAACTGCCTGCTGAGTAAACAAATGTGTGAAGGGCTGGGATCACGGCATAATGTGCACCGTGGCCTGTGCAGTATCAACATCGTGCCGTGGTAGCCGATTAACACTTTAATTACTCAAACCGTTATTGGAACCAGGAATCAAAGTGAATTCCAAACATTAAGCCACAAATTAGCCAGGTCATCTGTATTCAGTTTAATGTTTGTTGTCTAACATGTGGAATTCCCTAGGAATTCTTAAAGGGACACTATAGTCACCAGAACAACGACAGCTTAATGTATCGTTTGTTCTGGGGTCTATGGCCTGTGCCTGCAGGCGTTTTTTTAATGTAAATGCTGCTTTTTCAGAGAAGTGGCAGTCGCTCAGATGGCCACTAGAGGTGCTTCCTGGATCCGTGCTGCATGGAGACACTGAACCTTCCTCACAGAGATACACTGATTCAATGCATCTACATGAGGAGATGCTGATTGGTGCTGCGCTATGATGGCTCCGCCCCCGCCTCCTTAACTGAGATCATCAGAATTGACGATCTCAGCCAATCCAATGCTTTCCTATGGGAATAAAGGTGAGTCTTTACTATACTTAAGGGGGCTTGGGGGCTAAATAGTGTTTTTAACACTTTAGGGTCAGGAATACACATTTGTATTCCTGACCCTATAGTGTTCCTTTAATAATTAATGTTGTTAATATCCCTGTGCTAGTCTCTGTCACCTATGATGGCCTCGATTTAATAAGCTTTCCAAATGATTCAATATGGTTAGAAAAACTGTCCAAATGATTTATCTACAGAACTCACCATTAAAGTCTACGGGAATATTTGTAGATAAATCATTTGGAATGTTTTTCTAACAATAATGAATCATTTGGAAATCTTATTAAATTCAGGCCGATGTTTGGGATTTAATGAAAATTTTAGAGAAAAATTAACGTCTGAAAAATGCATCCACCAGAGCTGTAGTAGTTAAATTACATCCCCAGTCTATGTATTTATTGTTGGTGTTCCTAAATAAAATAATGTTGTGCAACCTTAAAGGGACAGTCTAACCTACAAATTTGCTTAATCCTAAAGGGACACTACAGTCACCAAAACAACTGCAACTTAATGTAGTTGTTCTTGTGTCTATATCTCTCCCTGTAGGCTTTTCAATGCAAACACGGCCTTTCCTATGGGGTTTTTGCATCACGTGACCAGGTTTTCAATATGACCGGCACTAGAGGTGGACTCAGGGCCGGTGCAAAGATTTCTGCCCCCCCTTGGCAAAGACCCATTTTGCCACCCCCTCGTGTCACTCACTCACTCACTGACAGCCATACACACAGAAGCTCACTGACAGACACACACTCACTGACATACATTCACTCACTCACTGACAGACAGACACACAAACACTCCGGTCACTGGCATTTGTTGGCAGAGCAGGCACCTGCCTTACCTATCACAGCTTTGGGGCACCCTGAGGTGGCTATCAGGCCACCTCTTGGCCCGTCTGTGACAGGGCACCTCTCGGCGCCCCCACTTTTGTGCGCCTTGAGGATCAGCCTGGCACTAGGGGGCGGCTCAAGTGCCGCTCACCCAGCGCTGCGGCAGCAGACAGGGGCAGACAGCCCACCCAGTGGGCGCCCCCAGTAGGCCGGCACCTTAGGAGAATGCCTAGTTTGCCTAACGGTTGCGCCGGCCCTGGGTGGACTTAACCCTGCAATGTAAACAAATGTAAAGTGTATTGTTTTTTTATTGCAGTGTTAAGAGGACAGGGAAACTGCACCTAGACGACGTCAATGAGATGAATTAGTCTGGGTGACTATAGAGTTCCTTTAAAATGGAGAAAGGGGGTATCATGATTCAAGCTGTTGACTGGATAAGCAACGAGTTCTGGAGGAGATTAATAGCCAATAAATCTTCACAGAAACAGCAGATTGCAACTTCATACTTGGAAGCCCTGCAGATGGCCTGTTGTGTGATCCAGCCCATGAATCCAGTGGAGGATTGCCACAGCTGCCATACTTTAGGCAGCGAGCGTCGCCGTCATCCATCGACAACCGAGAACGATCTCTGCCCTGTCTCGGGCCTAAGTCCAGTGGCTGGAACGTCTTGACTAGACGGAGCAGCATCATGCCTGGAGGCTGGGTGGCAGTCGGCCCTAGATATCCTACATACCTACTGTAACACAATAATTAGAGACCTGTTTGCCGTCCGGCACAACACCTCTGTTCTTGCCCTGGTGCTATGCCTTTAGGCTGGGTATTGGTTAATTGCACTCCAGGAATCTGTAACCTACACGCTTTAAACTTCCAATTCTGCCAATTGACCTGTTTAAAATTAATAGTGCCTTCTTTTTAATTTTTTTAAAATGTATTTTTATTTAATGTTTTGCTAAGATGTGTTTCTAAACACTCTTGGAGGAATTTATTACATCTAGTTTTTTATAGGGTCCTTCATTTGATTAGAAACTGTAAAGTGTCTTGTAGGCCATGTTGGTCACTTTTTCTTGTAATATTTCCACATTACGAAGCTACTTGTCTATATGATGTACACATGTATATGATTGAAACGTCATATACCGGCAAGCCTAGGTATGCTTTGCAATTAGATATTGCATAGTACGACCTTACTATAATGTAAACATATCAAAGGAGGTATTGTTATATTGTATGGCTCGGAGTTTTGTCCAGTAATGTTTCTGACTGTATTAGTGTTGATAGTATAAGACGTTGTGGCAGGTGCCTGCTCTGCCAACAAATGCCAGTGACCGGAGTGTTTGTGTGTCTGTTTGTCAGTGAGTGAGTGAATGTATGTCAGTGAGTGTGTGTCTGTCAGTGAGCTTCTGTGTGTGTGTCAGTGAGTGAGTGTATGGCTGTCAGTGAGTGAGTGAGTGACATGAGGTGGTGGCAAAATGGGTCTTTGCCAAGGGGGGCAGAAATCTTTGCACCGGCCCTGAGTCCACCTCTAGTGCCTGTCATATTGAAAACCTGGTCACGTGATGCAAAAACCCCATAGGAAAGGCCGTGTTTGCATTGAAAAGCCTACAGGGAGAGATATAGACACAAGAATAACTACATTAAGTTGCAGTTGTTTTGGTGACTGTAGTGTCCCTTTAAGATTAAGCAAATTTGTAGGTTAGACTGTCCCTTTAAGGTTGCACAACATTATTTTATTTAGGAACACCAACAATAAATACATAGGCCGGGGATGTAATTTAACTACTACAGCTCTGGTGGATGCATTTTTCAGACGTTAATTTTTCTCTAAAATTTTCATTAAATACCAAACATCGGCCTGAATTTAATAAGATTTCCAAATGATTCATTATTGTTAGAAAAACGTTCCAAATAATTTATCTACAAATATTCCCGTAGACTTTAATGGTGAGTTCTGTAGATAAATCATTTGGACAGTTTTTCTAACCATATTGACTCATTTGGAAAGCTTATTTGCTATGCATGCTTTGCATAACCTCAATAAAACATTGGTTAAGCGAACCTAAAAAACTGGAACTCCACTTTTTTAGGTATGCTTCACCATTTTTCGATATCGGAGGATATATCTTTAGTGTTTGAGTTCCTAATTCATTTATTTACCTATAAAGCTCTAACCAACTCTAGCCCCCTCTTACATTTCTTCACTGATTCGTAGGTATTCCCCCTCTCGGTCTCTCTGCTCTACTGGTGACCTTCTCCTTTATGCTGCTCGCACCATTACTGCAAATTCACGCCTGCAAGACTTCTCACGGGCAGCTCCTTTCCTTTGGAACAGCCTGCCTACCCCTGTCAGACTCTCCCCTAATGTTCAATCCTTTAAAGGGACTCTCCAGCACTGCAGGTCCCCTCTCCCTTCTACCCCCCATCCCACGTTGCTGAAGGGGTTAAAACAGCCACTAGAGGAGGAGTTAACCCTGCAAGGTAAATATTGCAGTTTATGAAAACTGCAATAATTACACTTGCAGGGTTAAGGGTAGTGGGAGTTGGCACCCAGACCACTCCAATAGGCAGAAGTGGTCTGGGTGCCTGGAGTGTCCCTTTAAGAAGTCCCTTTCAAAACCCATCTATTCAGGATAGCTTATGGCCTCCCAGAGTAACTTCTATCCTTTAAACCTCTCGCTCTCTCCAATAGAGCCACACTCCACTCTCACCTCCAGTTCTGCTACTTTCCCACCATGTCTATTTGCTGTCTCTCTCAACAAACACCCTTTCTATTGTGTTTTTATACCCGACCTCTTCTAGACTGTAAGCTCGTTTGAGCAGGGTCCTCAACTACGTATTGTTCCTGTTACATGTTGTTATTGTCTCATTTGGTAAATTCCCCTCTTATTGTAAAGCGCTGCGAAATAAGCTGGTGCTAAATTAATACAAATAATAATAACTATAGAATTATTTTTATTTTTTTAAAAGATAAGTGCCCTTTGCACATACATCCACCTTTTTTTTTTTTTTACAAATCAATAAAACATTAATTGCTAAAATGGACAAAGAGCAACACTTGCATTTTTGGGGGCGTGTGTGAGTGTGTGATGCAACGGGGCTGTCCTGAGAAATATTAGGTGACTTACTAAAAACAATTTATGCATTTAAAATGTAATTTACAAGAACAATGTATCTTATTGACACAGGGTGATTTCTAAACACAGTTATTGTTCTTTAAAGAACACATATTATTGTACTTTAAAGAAACATTATTTTTGCTGTGGAGCTCTGTTATACACGCAGACACATTACTGGGAGTATTATTGCTGTGGAGCTCTGTTATACACTCAGACACATTACTGGGAGTATTATTGCTGTACTCTGTTATTGCACATTACTGGGAGTATTATTGCTGTGGAGCTCTGTTATACACTCAGGCACATTACTGGGAGTATTATTGCTGTGGAGCTCTGTTATACACTCAGGCACATTACTGGGAGTATTATTGCTGTGGAGCTCTGTTATACACTCAGACACAACAACAATATGGAGCTCTTAGAAAAGAGGGACATTAAGATAGAAAAGAGGGACAGAGGGATTTAGGCCCAAAATATGGACTGTCATTAAAAGGGACACTTGAGAGGTATGGACTATGATGCCTAAACTCTGGATAGCTCTACTGAACCTAAAACACCTCTAGGCATGGCCACGCATGCACAATAAAACCTCCTGGTTCTCCACCCATCGAAGGAAGGGATTGTTTAACTTCCTGTGCCAGGCGATCGGTTTATTTCCTTGAGTAAATTGTTTATCATTCCAGTTAGTCTGGTTTGTCTTTAATTACATGTACATTCTAAAAGGACTATAATGTCTTCAACCATAAATTAAGTGCTGGGATGTAAACAAATAATACCTATCGCATGACTCCCAGGTGATGAAACTGGAAAATAAATCTAATTACAGTAAAGGGATAAAGGTATTTAGAAATCCATTCTCATGACTATATTCAGCTTTTACGGCCACACCCATGGCTGCAGGTATATAAAACCAAGCACACTGCATTACAGTTTCCATAGACAGGGATTGGGATTAGACCTGGCCATACTGCAGAGCTCACTGATTGGCAATATCATGGGATGTAGCCTTCCCCACTGGTCAGTTAGTCAAATTTCAGTAAGAAGTGCCTCTAAAGGGCAGTGCAGGGACTTCACAAAATGGGTTTCCACAGTCACGAGATCACAGTGTGCGTCTGTCCATCGATCTCTGCAACAATAAAATGGGTTATTGCAACCAATAAATCGCACTTCATCAGGCTCTCCGACAGACAGATGCTAAATGATAGGATTCCAGAAGAATTGTATCAAGCTGACTGCACAGAGCAAAATGAACAGTTTGGTGAATGATAAATAATAGTCTAGGCTTGTTAGTGGGCTTTTTAAAGGAACATTCTGGGAAACATAACTTAATCGCAACAAAAAGTTGTTATGGTGCAAGGAGGTGCTGGGTGCCATTTTACCTTAAAGGGACACTATAGGCACCAGGCCACTTCAGCTCATTGAAGTGGTTTGGGTTCAGTGTCCCAAGTCATTTAAGCCTGCAAAGATAATTATTGCAGTTTTTAAGAAACTGCAATAATTACCTTTCAGGGTTTACTCCAACTCTAGTGGCTGTCTACCAGACAACCACCAGAGGGACTTCCAGGCTTTTAGGCCAGTTTTGGTCACCTAACTGACGCTGAACATCCTCATGCTATGTATGGGGACTTCCAGTGTCACCCAAAACCCCATTGTATAATGCTTTCCTATGGAGAAATCCTAATGCAATCGCATTAGGTCTACCATGCTGGCTGATGGTGGCGGGGAAGGAGAGAAGGCAGACCCGAGCCAGCGCAGAGGGACATCAGTGCTGGACCCAAGTAAGTGACAGAAGAGGTGACTGGGGGGGAGGGGCCGTGAGGCAGGGGTAAGCTATAGTGCCAGGAAAACAAGTTTGTTTTCCAGGAACTATAGTTTACCTTTTAAGGGCTTAACAAATCGTTTAACAACCAAACTTTTGAACACAAGTGCCCGATCACTCCACACAGCTACTTTCTCCCTGACCAGGAAAAGCTTCCACCAATCAGAAGTACCTCATCCTTGTCTGTTTTTTTTTTTCGTTTTAATATCCGTTCTCCAGGATTTTATGGGATAAGTAGTTTATCCCTCAAATGCGGTTCCAGTCACCACATCACGTGGGATGATAGGAATTTCGATATAGGCTGATAGCAGTCATGCTAAGCACATGCGTCAATCATTGCACAATATAATTTTCAGCAGAAATACCTCCCAAGCCGTCAGTCAGAAAGCCAGAGAGGTGTTCTTCCACTTCTCGTATCTCCACAGAGGTGACATCGTACAACAATATTTTGCAAATGAGCACAACTATTAGCCAACAAAGGAAGGGAAGCAGGTTGCAAGCTATTGTGATGTAGCTCAGCGTAACCCTTTTAAATGCAATATTTTGGGCAGTTCTTTTTGCCTCATATCTGGGGGTATTTATATTCCAAAACAATCAGATCCCAAAAAAGGTATTTTTAACAGTAACTCAACAATTCCACAGATAGGAGGTGTACCTAGGTTACAT